GGCTCGGGGCCGCTTGCCCGCGGCGTCGTCGCCGCGCGTCTCGGCGTCGTGGACGTGCTCGAGGCGCCGCACGGCGAGGGCCGCCATCGCGCCCGCGTAGAGCACGACGAACGCGGCGGCGAGGACCGCCGCGCCCCTGGCGACGTCGCGCGCGGCGACGGCGCCCGCGAGCCTGGCGACGCCGCCGGCGCCGAGCGCGTAGCCCGCGACGTTGCCCGCGATGAGCGCGAGGATGGACCCGGCGGCCGCGGCGGCCGCGGCCCGGCGCCGCGGCCCCGCCTCGCCCGCGGCGACGACGGCGCGCGCGCGCCGCTCGAGGCCCAGCGCGCGCTCGAGGGCGAGGAAGCCGACGTTCGCCGCGCCCCAGAGCGCGAGCCGCGGCGTCGCGTCGTGCCAGAAGGCGACGAAGCCGAAGGCGACGGCGGACGCCGCCGCGGGGCCGCACGCGCGCCGCGCGTCGTCGTAGACGTAGGCGCGGAGCCAGCCGTTGAACGACGCGTGCCAGCCGCGCCAGAAGCCCGCGATCGTGAAGTTGTCGCAGACGAAGCGCCGCATGTTCTCCGGCGCGGCGACGCCGTCCGCCAGAGCCCAGCACCGGAAGCACCGCCAGAGGAACGCGAACTTGAGCCAGAGCACGTTGATGAAGAGGAACGCGAACGCGGCCGCCGCGCCCGGCGGCAGCGCGCCGTAGGCGCCCGACGCCGCGAGCGCGTAGACGTGGGTCCGCCGCAGCGCCGCCTCGAGGTAGAGGCCCGCGATCGCCGTCCGCGCCGCGTAGGACGCGACGCCCGGCGGCGGCGCGCGGACGACAAAGTCGCCGTAGGTCGCGACGGGCCCCGCGAGGTAGAGCGGCGCGTAGGTCGCGTAGGCCACGACGTCGCGGAACGTCGCCGGCGCGCGCTCGCGCAGGCCGTCGAGCGCGCACGAGGCGAGGCGCAGCGCGAGGAACGGCAGCGCGTCCGCCAGCGGCGCGAGGCCGCCGTGGGCGTCGAGCCGCGGCGCGGACGCGACGTAGGCCCAGGTCATGCGCCGCCGCAGCGGCCAGGCCCGCTCCTTGCACGCCAGCGCGAGCAGCGCGAGCGCCCAGACCGCGGGCCGCGCGAGCCGCCGCGGCGCGCGCGCCGCGCCGTGGAACGCGGCGCACCACGCGAGGACGAAGGGCGCGTGCGACCCGTGGGCGGCCGCGACGAACGCGAGGCCGCCGAGGAAGCGCGCGCGCGCGCCGAACGCGCGCGCCGCGGCGACCGTCGCGGCCGCGGCGGCGGCCAGGAGCGGCAGCGCGGACCGGAACTTGCGCCACTGCGCGTCGTTGTCGTCGTAGAGGCCCCAGGCGTCGCTCCGGAGGCGGCCGCGGCAGCCCCGGTCCGCGAGGCACGCGGACCGGAGCGTCGCCGCCGCGGCCGGCAGCGCGTACCCGAAGAGGGCCAGCGCGACGGCGTGGAGCGGCGCGTAGGCCCACGTCGCGAACCAGCTGCGCCGCAGGACCCGCAGCGGCGCGGCGGACACGATGCGCCAGAGCCGCTCCTCGAGCACGAAGAGGGCCACCCAGTAGTACGCGTACCAGACCAGCGGCTCGACGAGCGCCGCGCCGAGGGCCATGCCGGAGATGGCGCGCGCGCGGCGACGCGAGGCGCTCAGCGTGTGCTGCAACGAGCCGCTCAGGAGATGCGCGCGTGTGTTGGAACGAGCCGCTCAGGAGATGGTCGCGTGTGTTGAAACGAGTCGCAGGATCATCAGGCGAGGGCCAGCATCGTGCCCCGCGCAGCAGTTCAATGTGAACCCTTGCAGGCCTCCTTGCAGTCTTCTTGCACCGACGCCTCGGCACGCCTTGATCATGACCTCCTTTAAATGCAACGTGCGCCTGGTTGGAGCTTGTTAAGCCGCGCGGGGGGTCTTCGGGCGGGATGCGTTGGACGGGAAGGCACGTGGGAGGGGAGCGGCGCCAAGTTTGAGCCCGCGTTCTAACCCCGGGCGGGTCGCGGTCGCAGCGGCGACCTTGCGTTCATGTTAAGACAAAAAAACTGCGTCCTACCACAGCGCGTCGGCCGCGGCCTCGCCCGCGAACGGCATCCACTCGTCGTCGGACGACGGCGCGTCGCCGTCGTCCCGCTCGGGGGCCCAGATGCCCGGGTACGCGCGTCTCGCGCAGGCTTCGAGGTCGCCGCCGCCGGCGAAGGCGAACTCGAAGACCGTCGCGCCGCACGGCGCGGCGGCCGCGCCGCCGTCGAGGACGCGCGCGCCGCAGCCGGCGGCGGCGGCGGCGGCGAAGAGCCGCTCCGGCAGCCGCGCGCCGCGGACGACGAAGCCGAGGACGAAGACGCCCGACGCGCCGACGGCGGCGCGCGCCGACGCGAAGAGCGCGTCCACGGCGGCCGGCGGCGTCGCCGGGTAGACGACGTCGGCCGCGTAGGCCACGTCGCGCGGCCCGAGCGCCTGCGTGGAAATCTTCAAACCGACTTCAACGTGCGCGTCTTCGAATGTCTCGACACAAGCTCTGCGGCTGGACTTCGAGAACTCGATCGATCCGTCCAAAAATCAGCCGAATCGACTTCGATTTGACCGAGCTAGAAAGTTTGGTCGGGACGTCCCGAACCGGCGGTTGATTTCCACACAGCCGAGCGCGCTCCAGCCGTCGCCCCATACGTGGCGCGCGACGTCGTAGCGCGCGCCCGGCGCCGCGTTGGCCGCGAGGTTGCGCGCCGCCAGCGCCAGCGCCTCGGGCGACGCGTCCGTGGCGAGGACGTCGAGGCCGAGCGCGGCCGCGACGGCGCCGCAGCCGCCCGCGCCGCAGCCGAGCTCGACGAGCCGCTTTCCTTTGAGCGTGGAGCGCGCCGCGCAGAGCCACTCGCTGACCGCGACGCGCGCGGGCCACTGCATGAGGCCCGTGCGGTCGAGCCCGCCGTCGAGGAGCGTGCCGCGGAAGGACGTGCGGCAGGCGACGCGCACGGCGACGTCGCCGCCGTAGGTCTCCCGGCAGATCTCCAGGCCGTCGTCGCCGGCGCCGTCGTCGTCGGTTTCGTTCGTCATAGCGGGTCTACGGCCCGAGGTTGGCGGGCTGGCTGTCACGCATGTCCGCCACCATGACAAAAGGCTCCAGCAGCCTCGGGCGAATGTTGATTTCGTGTTGCACCACATGTTGCCTCGTGTGGGTGCGCGCTAAGTGCGCGCGGCCCTGAGACGGCGCCACGTGCGCCCCGCGACGTCGTCGGCGCAGGGGAACGCAGCCCGGGAGCGGCCGGCACGCGCCGTTAGCCCCCTACCACCGGTTCCGCGGGTCCTCGGTCGCGGGGCCGCGCTCGAGGTCCTCCGTCGCGGCGATGGAGTCCTCGAGGCTCTCGATGACCTGGCGGTCCGTGCGGCCGTCGAGGAGGGACGCCCAGACGAGGGCGTCGTTGAGCTTGGGCAGCTCGACGACGACGTGGCGCCGGTCGAGGCCCTCGATGACCTCGAGGAACCTGGCGCGCGGCGACGCTCGGCGCGCGCGCGGGCGACCGCGCGCGCGCGGAACGGGAGCGCGGGGCGCCGGGGCCGCGCCAGCCGGAGCCGTCCGCGTCGACCTCGTGGCGGAGGGGCGCGTCGACGAGCACCTGGGCGGCGCGAGGGTGCGACTTGGAAAGCTTGGCCGCGTTCCGCTCGTTTCGGTCGGACGGGCGACGGGCTCGCGGCCTCGACGCGCGGATGGGTCCGCTCGAACGCGCGCCCACGGAAGACGCGCGTCGCCGCGCGGGCGCGCGCGGGCGCGCCGCCGATCGTCACCGAGAGCGCGCGCGTGCCGACGGTCACGGACCTGGGCGGGGCGATTCGACGTCGCTTCGACGTTGAGTGTTCCGCGCGCGCGCGTTCCAGGAACAGCATCCACGCGTCGAGAGCGCTCCGAGGGATGATCGCTCGTCCAAAAATCAGCCGAAACGAGTGAGGAGCCTTTGACGTCGGGACCGTCGCGCGCGTTTCCCGCCCGGTCGCGGACACGTCCGCGGCGCGCACGCCGTCGTCGACGGCGGCGAAGCAGCAGACGAGGTCCTCGGACTGGGCCCAGCGGATCTCGCCCGCGCGCGGCAGGTCCAGCACGCCGCGGCGCAGCGCCGCGGCCGCGTCCGCGCGGGCGGGATCGAGCGCGGGGCCCCGGGGGAAGTCCGCGCCGCCGCTGCGCACGTAGCGGCCGCCGGCGACGCAGTCCCAGAAGTAGGCCTCCGCCGTCGACTCGCGCCGGAGCCGCGCGCCGTCCGCCTCGTCGACGGGCTGGGCCTCGGCGCGCGCCCGCGCTTGCTCCGCCGCCGCGTCGAGGCGCGCGAGCTCCGCGGCGTCGTCGTCGTCGACCGCGCGCCGCGTGCTCCGGCGCCGGACCGCGGACCGCGGCGCGACGAGCGCGCCGCAGAGCGTCGCGACGAGCGCGAGGCGGGCAGCAGCGCGGAGCACCATGGCTCGATGCACGCGGGCCTCAGGTTGAACTCAACTCAACCTTGAGCAATGCTTCGCTAAATTTACCACAGCTTTGGCTGCCTGAGAGCGCGCTCCCGACATGAGCGCATCTTGAAACGTCCGATGCCGTCGTCGTCGACGCCGCTGTTCGCCGCCGCCGGCGTCGCCGCCGGCGTGCTGCTCTACGCGCTGCTGCGGCGGCGGCGGCGGCGTTTCGGTGCGCGGCCCTGCTGCCGCGTCGACGGCTGCGACGTCTACTGCGTCGAAGGCGAGTGCGCGGCGGGCGCGCTGGGCGACGGTCGCTTCTGGGCCGGCGCCTACGTCGGCCTCGACTGCGAGTGGAACCCGCGGCGGGCGCCGCGCGTCGCCGTCGTCCAGGTGGCGGCGCCGGGCGTCTGCGCCGTCGTCCGCGTGTCGCGCGCGGGCGCCGCGCCGCCGGCGCTCGCGGCCCTCCTCCGGGAACGCGTCGCCGTCGGCGTCGGCGTCCGCGACGACGCCGCGCGGCTCCTCCGCGACCTCGGCCTCGCCGTCGGCGACGCCGTGGACCTCCGGGACGCGGCGCGCGCGGCGGGCGCGCTCCCGCGCGGCGAGCGCGACGGCCTCGCGGCGCTCGCGAGCCGCTTCGCGCCGGGGGCCAGTCTCCCGCACAAGGCCGACGCGGCCGTGCGGGCCTCGGCCTGGGACGCGCGGGAGCTCTCGCGAAAACAGGTCGAGTACGCGGCCGGCGACGCGATCGCGAGCTTCCTCGTGCTCCGGGGGCTCCACGGCGCGCTCCCCGTCTCGCGCGGCGCCGAAAGCCTCGAGGCCTGGCTCGCGGGCCTGCCCCGGCGCGCGGCGCCGCCGCCGCCGCGGCGGAGGAGCGCGCCGGCGCCGGCGCCCCCCGGCGCGGCCGGCGCCGCGCCGGCGCCGGACCGCGACGCGCACAAGGCCGCGCGGCGGCGGCGCTACGAGCGGTGGCACGAGGACCACGCGACGTCGAAGCTCTACGACAACATCGAGCTCGTCGCCTCCGACGGCGCGCGCGTCCTCGGCATGGTCAACGAGGGCAAGGCGAGCTGGTACGTCGGCAAGGGCATGGCGACGCGCGAGGGGCCCCGGCGCGTCGTCCTCACCTACGAGCCCGACTTCGACGAGGACCCGGCCCCCGTCGTCCGCAAGGCGAACGCGTGCGTCGGCTGCGGCGCGGCGAGGCCCCTGACGCGCTTCTACGTCGTGCCCTACCGCTTCCGCCGCTGCTTCCCGCTGGCCCACAAGTCGAACAACTCGCACGACGTCGTCCCGCTCTGCCTCGCGTGCCGCTACCCCGTCGACCGCGCGTACCGCGACGAGGAGCGGCGCCTCGAGGCGGGCCTCGCGGGGGGCGCCTTCGCCAAGGCCGACACGCGCGCGCCGCGCGACGACGCCGCGGCCGCGCGGAACGTCGCCCGGACGCTCCTGCGCGACGCGCGGGGGCCCCGGGCCATCCCGGAGGACCGGCGCGCGGCGCTCCTCGCCTTCGTCGCGGACGCGGTCGGCGCGGCGCCGGGCGCGCTCGACGATGCGGCGCTCGAGGCCCTCGCGGCCGCGCGCGGCGGCGGCCGCCGCCGCGAGCCCGCGCGCGCGGGCGGCGACGGCCTCGAGGCGCGGTGCGTGCGCGCGCTCCTCGACGGCGCGGCCGACGACGCGGACGTCGCGGCGCGCGTCCAGCGCTTCCAGGTGCGCTGGCGGTCGCTCTTCGTCGACGTGCTCCGGCCGCGGCGCCTGCCGCCGGGCTGGGTCGTGGACCACGAGCAGCGGCCGCGGCGCCGGCCGCCGCCGGGCGACCAGCCCTGCCGCGCGCACCGCAACGGGCGCTGCGCCTGGGGGGACGCGTGCAAGTATAGCCACGCGCCCTAGGCCCCGGGCGCGGCGCCGTCGTCGTCCCGGAGCGAGGCGACGAAGCGGTGGCCCGGGCGGACGAGCGCGGGCACGACGGCCCGGGCGGAGCGCCGCCCCGGCGTCACGAAGCAGACGGGCTCCCCGGCCCGGACGCCGACGGGGCAGGTGACGAAGACGAGCGCCTCGCGCGGCGGCGCGCCGCTCAGGGTCCGGCGGAGCGTCGCGCGGAGCGCGGGCGCCGCGGCGCCCGCGTCGAGGATCTCGCCCCGCGCGCCCGCGTGCGTGTGCGCGGCGTCCGGCGGCGCGTCCCAGCACTCGGCGAGCGGCGCCGGGAGCCGCGCGGCGGCCTCGACGACACCGACCGCCGCGGCCGTCCCGTAGGTCCGCGCCGCGGCGCCCCAGCCGCCGCCGCCGCCCCGGACGAAGAGCGCCGACGCGAAGTGGAGCGGCAGCCACCGCCACGCGGCCTCCGCCGCCGCCGCCGTCGCGTAGTAGCGCGCGCGGACGACGCCGTGGTCCTCCATGAAGATCGCGGCGGCCGCGGCCCCCAGCCCCGGCGCGAGCTTGACGCGGTCGAGCGCGTCGTCGGGGCCGCGCGCGCGCAGCACCTCCCAGCCCGACGCGCCGAGGCGGAGCAGCGCGCAGCCGCGGCCGCGCTGCGCGAGCCAGGCCTGCTCCGCCGCCGCCGGCGTGTCGCAGGCCGCGCCGGTGCCGCGCCACTCGCCGTGGGCGTCGACGGCGAGCAGCACGTACGCGCGGCCCTTGCCCATGCGCGGGCGCAGGCTCGGAGGCAGGCGCGCGTCCGGCGTCTCCGGCGATCCCGTGAACGGGTTGATGGGCGGCTCCCAGGCGGCCATGGTCGCGAGCTGCGGCTCCACTACAGGCCGGCTCCCATATGTACCATGCTTTTAAATGTTCAAGGACGCGTTATTTGACTCTTTCTTCGGGGCGTGGCTGGTGATGGGGTCCTCCGTCGAGGGCGGCGCGTCGGCGCCGGCGGTGCGCCGGCGCTACACCGTCGTCGGGAAGCGCGGCGTCGTCGTGCGGGCGGGCGTGGAGCTCGACAGCCCCGTCGTGGCGCGGCTGCCCCGGGGCGCCGTCGTCGAGGGCGACGCGTCGTCGAGCGTCCCGGCGCGCCCGGGGGGCGCCCGCCTACGCGTCGCCGGCGGCTGGTGCGCGGCGCGCCTCGTCGCGCCGGGCCCGCTCGTCGGCGGGTGCGCGCCGCTCGCGGCGTCGCTCGGCCTGCCGCCGCGGCCCGAGGGCTACTTGTGCGACCTCGAGGCCGCGCCGCCGCCGCACGAGCGCCTCGAGGTCGCGACGGTCGCCCTCGGCTGATTCTGGGAGCCTCCGGCGCTGCTCCGGGCGACGCACGCCGGCGTGGCGGCCACGACCGTCGGCTACTGCGGCGGCCGCGCGCCGTGGCCGACGTACGGGGACATGGGCGACCACACGGAGGCCGTCCAGGTCCTGTACGACCCCGGCGTCACGACCTTCGACGACATCCTCAGATTTGTCCTGCCGAGCGGCGGGCGGAACCGGTCGCAGACGCGCCAGTACATGACCGCCGTCTGGCCCCACACGGACGCGCAGGCGGCCGCCGTCGCCGCGGCGACGCGCGACCTGCCCGAGGACTTCCTCTTCGTCGAGCCCTTTTCCTGCTTCTACCGCGCGGAGGATCCACCACCAGGGCCGGAGCTAGCGATGACGGGCGCGCGCGGCCCTCGGCCGCGCGCGCCCCGACGACGCCCGGCGCCCTAGATGTACCTCGGCGGTCTAAACTTTACTATTGTAGACTAAAGCTCGTCGGGGTCTACGGCGCCGGGCTTGGGCTTGGGCGGCGGCGCGGCCGCGGCGGGCCCGGGCGTGTCGAGCGTCGTCGCGAAGCGCCGCGCCTCGCCGGCCGCGACGTAGGAGATGGCCACGTCCGTCGCGCCGCGCGCGGCGTCGTAGGCGTAGCGCTCCACGGTCGTGGCGGCGAGGTCGAGCGCGTCGACGTCGACCTTCGCGTGGCGCCTGTGTGGATTCCAACCACTGGTTTGGGGGGTCCCCACCAAACTTCAGAACTCTCTATCTCGGTCAAATCGATGTCGATTCGGCTGATTTTTGGACGAATCGATTGCTCTCGTGGAGTTCTCGAAGCACGGCAGAAAGCCTTGCGTCGAAACCGTCGAATACGCTCACATTGAAGTCGGGTTGAAGGTTTGGAATCCACACAGCGTGGCGCGCGAGGATGTGGTTCGCGATCGCGCGCTTCGTCGCCGAATTCCGCGTCTCGTCGTAGACCGGGAGCCCCGTGCGCCCCGCGAACGTCGTCGCGGCATCAACACCCACAGCGAGAAGCGCCTCCACGGTCGCCGCCTTGTCGTCGCCGCCGCCCCACGCGGCCCGCACGAGCGGCGTCTCGCCGTCGCGGCCGACGCGCGCCGGGTCGAGGCCCAGCGCCACGAGCGCGGGGACGACGTCCGCGTTGCCCGAGAACGCGGCCGCGTCGAGCGCCGTGAAGCCGTTCTTCTGCTCGACGCGCGCGTCGGCGCCGCGCGACAGGAGGAGCTCGACGATGTCGGCCTGCTTGAAGATGATCGCGTTGAAGAGCGTCGTCTGGTGGTTCGACGGGCTCCCCGCGTTGACGTTCGCGCCGGCGTCGAGGGCCCGGCGCACGGCGGCGACGTCGCCCTCCTTGCGCGCCTCGAAGAGGGCGCCGTCCCGCTCCTGGACGTAGGACGTGTCCGTGGGCGACAAGGACGTGTCCGTGGCCGCCGCGGCGGCGCGGACCGCGCAGGCGACGACGAGGAGGAGACGCATTTTGACGCTCGAGAGCTCGGGCCGTCGTCGACGAGTGGTTTATGCCACAACGTTGGCGAGCGCTTGCGAAGTGCGCACAGAAGCTCTCAGGAGCACCCGAGCAGCACCGTCGAGCGGGCAGCCACAGCCGACGCGCGCAGCGCGCAGCACACGCGCGCGACGCCGCAGCGGTCGTCGCGCGACGCGCGCACGCGCGCCGGAAACGCGACGCCCATGCGCATGCTCCACTTTGCGTTCGTCGCCGGCGCCGCCGCGTCCCAGGCGGCGGCGGCGGCGCCGCGGCTGCACTGGCCGATCAACGAGGCCTTCCCGGGCCTCGTCCGCGTCGTGGATGACCCGCCGGTGTGGCTCGTCCGGGACCTGCTCACGCCCGCGGAGTGCGACGCGCTCGTCGCCAAGGCGACGCCCGAGCGGCTCACGCGGGGCGGCGACGCGACGGGCCTCGCGGAGCGGCGGACGTCGCGCGAGTGCCGCCTCGGCTTCGACGAGGTCGCCGGGCTCCAGGCGCGCTTCGCGGATCTGCTCGCGCTGCCACCGGCGCACCTCGAGCCTTTAAAGCTCACGCGCTACGGCGTCGGCGACGGGGCAGCAAAAGAGAGCGAAATTCCCAACTTCAAAGGCTCCGATCTCGGCCGTTTTCCTCTCGTTTCGGCTGATTTTTGGACGAGCGATCATCTCTCGGAACGGTCTCGAAGCGTGGATGCTTTTTCTGGAACGCGCGCGCGCGGAACACTCACGTTGAAGCGACGTTGAATCACCCTTTTGCTGCCCAGGTCGGCGACGCCTTCGCGTTCCACCACGACGCTTGCCGCGACGGCTACCCGGACGGCTGCGTCGACTGCGCGACGCCCCACTGCAACCGCGTCGCTACCGTCGTCGTCTACCTCACGGAGTGCGGCGGCGGCGAGACCGTGTTCCCCAACCTCGACCCCATACTGCCCGTGCCGCCGCGGCGCGGCTCCGCCGTCGTCCACTTCCCGGCCTTCGGGCCGGACGCGCCTCCGGACCTCCGCGGCCGCCACGACCCGCGCGTCGGCCACGCGGGCGCGCCCGTCGATTCCGGCGAGAAGGTCATCGTCCAGCAGTGGGCCTGGACGGGGCCCCTGCTCCGGGACCGGCTCGGCGACGGCTACGCGCCCGACGGCTACCCCTGGACCGGGGCCCCGCTATAGGTTCTTACCGTAGGGCTTCATGGGCACGAGGGGCAGCGCGGGCGTCGCGATGTCCGCGTCCGCGAGGCGCGGCTGCACCTGGGACACGTAGATGTCCGCGCCGACCTGCGGCGGCGCGCGCCGGGTCGCGCGGGACGAGCGACCGGGCGGGAGGCGCTCGCGGGCGGGAGGCGCGCTCGCGGGCGGGAGGCGCTCGCGCGCGGGAGGCGCTCGCGGGCGGGAGGCGCTCGCGGGCGGGAGGCGCTCGCGGGCGGGAGGCGCTCGCGGGCGCCGCGGCGCGCCGCGACGAGGGGCCAGATGAGGAGCGCCAGCGGGATGCCCTTCTTCTTCGGCGCGATCTCGCCGTCGCGGGGCTCCGCGCCGCGCGCGACGGGTGCGCGGCGCGGCGCGGCGACGGGCGCGAAGGCGGCGCAGCCGGCGCAGAGGAGGAGCTGTGCGCAGAGGAGTGCGGCTCGCAAGAGCTTCATGCTTCACCGCATCAACATCGAGTGCAAGGTCGATTCAACCTTCAGATTTTAATCCGGTTACACTGCTCGATGGGTGCCCCGCGATAGTGCCACTGCCGCGAGACGGCGAGTCTCCTCGTGACGTGCTGACTGCCCTTGGTGGTATGGCCGAGACTCCCGGGGACGCTCCCGCTGGCAGTGTTGCCGCATCTCCTGGCGAGGTCGTGCAGCCGCCCGCCGGCGGCGTGGCCGCATCTCCTGGCGCGGTCGTGCGGCCGCCCGCCGGCGGCGTGGCCGAGGCGTCCGACGGCGTGGTGACCATCTTCCGAAACGACGGCGCCCCGTGGTGGAACCCCGCGCTGCGCTTCGCGCACGGCGAGGGGTCCGGCGAGCTGCTGCCGCTGGACCAGAGCACGAGCTTCAAGCTGACGGCGCGCGTGAAGATCCCGCCGCTCTACAGCCGCGGCGCCGTCTTCGCGCAGGCGCCCGTGGACCGCGTCGGGAACGGCGTCTGGCGCAACGAGTCGCGCCGGGGCATCTCGGGGACCGTCTTCGGCGTGCGCGGCGGCCGCCCGTTCTACGACATCGGCTGGGTCGGCTCCGTGGACTGCGACGTCGTCGTCAACGACGACGCGTGGCACGACGTCGCCGTCGTCTTCGACGGGCGCCAGTACCACCTCGAGGTCGACGGCGCGTTCGTGCGCGTCGTGCGCGCGCCCGTGCTCGAGAGCGGCAACGCGCGGGCGTGCCGCGCGGGCGACGACTTCCGCGTCCTCGTCGGCGCGCGCGTCGGCCCGCTCCTCGACGCGGCCGAGCGCGAGGCCTGGCACCCGCGCTTCGACGCGGAGACGAGCGCCGTGGCGGCGGGCATGGGGCCCGAGCTCCCGCTCGGCTTCATCGCGTCGATCGCGTTCGAGGCGCCCTGCGCGTCCGCGAGGACCCACTGCGCGCGGCTCCCGCCGCTCCTCAGCCGCGGCGACGACGCGCGCGCGGAGGCGCCCGCGGCGTCGGACGAGCCGCTCCGCGAGGCCGTGCTCGCCTACCCGGAGCAGTCGTGCGAGGTCCCGCTCCTCGTCGTGCCCCGGGGCTACCTCGGCGCCGCGCCCCTCGAGGAGTTCGCCGAGTCGCTCCTCGACGCGATCCGCCGGCTCGGACCCGTCGAGCGCGAGCGGCCGGCGCTGCTCTTCGAGGTGGGCAAGCCCAGGAAGGGGGCGTCGGGGGTCAACGACTTCCGGAAGGGGGCGTGGATCAACAGCTTCCGCGTCGAGGCGCCCGACGACGGCGAGGACGACGGGACGGACGCCGGCGCCGGCGCCGGCGGCGCCGCGGTGTCGCGGAGCGCTGCTGCTGCCGCGCAGGACGGCTACGAGCTGTGCCGAAACCAACCACTGGTTTGGGTGGTCCTGACCAAACTTGAGAATTCTCTAGCTCGGTCAAATCGAAGTCGATTCGGCTGATTTTTGGACGGATCGATCGCTCTCGTCGAGTTCTCGAAGCCCAGCCGAAGAGCTCGCGTCGAAACGGTCGCATATGCGCACATTGAAGTCGGGTTGAAGATTTGGTTTCGGCACAGGCTACGAGGCCATCCTCGAGGCCGCGCGCGCCGCGGCCGAGGAGAGCGGCGCGGCGCCGCCCCACTCCGCGGAGACCGTCGCGGAGTACGTCGCGCACAAGCAGGTCATCAAGCACTCGCGGCTCGTCCTCGAGTCGCGCGTCGCGAGCCTGCTGGCGAGCGTCATGACGACGTGCGACGAGGCCGGCGCCTGGGTCAAGTTCGACTTCCCCTACGCCTGCAACGCGCTCTGCAGCATGGTCTGCGCGGACGCGCCGCCCGGTGTCCTCCGCCTCGGCCTCCTCATGCGCAATGACGAGGTCTGGAAGGCGCGGAACGACATCCACTGCGAGTTCGCCGTCTTCCGCGATCTCTACGACCGCCTCGAGGACCGGGCCTCGTCGCGCGTCCTCGGCGACGCCGGATCGGCGCTCCCGCGCGTCGAGGTGCCCATGGCCGCCATCGAGCGGACCTGCGAGCGCCAGCGCGTCCGCAACTTCGCGCCGCATCCGAGCCTGTCGCACGCCGTCTTCTTCGAGTCGAACGCGGACCGCCACCGCTTCAACGCGGCCCTGAGCTCCGCGCTCCAGATCCCCTCGGGCCGCTTCCTCGTGAACGGGACGGACTACGCGCTCCGGTCCTGCCTCGAGACCATCGCGGCGTGCCGTCCCGTCTTCTGCTTCAAGCACACGGGCGGCGCGTCGCGCCCGGTCGCGCACCTCCTCGAGACGCGCCTCAAGGCGGACCACAACAGGCCCCTGCCGCTCCCGTCCACGTGCGCCGCCTGCGCGGCGCGCGGCGGCGGCGCGGCCCTTGGCGCGTTCTGCCCGCACGTCACGGCGAGTACGCGCGTCCTCAGCGAGAACTGGCCCGAGAACTGGAACGCGGCGAGCGTCCTCGTCGTCGACCCCCTCACGCAGACGGCGGAGCAGCTCCAGGACAAGATCACGGCCGTCATGTCGAGCGTCTTCGACGGGGCAGCACAAGAGAGCGAAATTCCCAACTTCAAAGGCTCCTTTCTCGGCAGTTTTCCACTCGTTTCGGCTGATTTTTGGACGAGCGATCATCTCTCGGAACGGCCTCGAAGCGTGGGCGCTTTTTCCGGAACGCGCGCGCGCGGAACACTCACGTTGAAGCGACGTTGAATCACCCTTGTGCTGCCCAGGTCTTCGAGGGCGCGGCCACGGAGCTCGGCGGCCGCGAGGCCGAGCGCGTGGCCGTCGCGTACGCGTGGCGCCTCCACGCCTGCCTCGAGAAGAACGCGGCCATGCAGCGGCGCCTCGCGCTCTGCCTCCACGCCTGCGTCACGGGCCTCACGCTCCTCACCGTCGCCGCCGCGACCGTCGCCGCGTCACTCGCGAAGTCGCCCCCGGGCCTCGACCTCGCGACGCTCCTCCTCCCCGCGGCGACCGCCGCGGCCATCGGCATCGCGGGCCAGCTCAAGGCCGTGCCCAAGTGGGCCGCCTGCCGCCTCGCCGCCCACAAGTGCGAGCGCGAGGTCTACCGCTACCGCGCGCAGGTCGGCGACTACGCGCCCGTCCTCGGCCGCCGCGCGGCCGCCAAGGGCGCGAGGAACCCGCGCCGCGCGTTCACCGCGGCGCTCAAGGAGATCTGGGCCGACCTCCACGCCTCGGAGCTCAAGGTCGGCGGCCTCGCCGCGCTCGGCGACGCGGAGGCGAGCGCCGCGCGCGCCAAGCTCGAGGCGCGCGAGCGGAGCGCCGCCGAGCGCGATCGCCGCGCCGCCGAGCGCGCCGCGAAGCGATCCGCGAAGCGATCCGCCAAGGTCCGCCCCGCGGGCGCGCCGGGCGCCGCGCCGGTTTCCGCGCCGGAGCACAAAGCCCCCGCCTTCGGCGAGCTGAGCGCCGAGGACTACATCAAGGTCCGCCACACGGAGGTCCTCGCCCGCTACGAGCGGAGCGTCCGCCGCCTCCGCCTCGGCGTCGGCCTCGTCGACGCGCTCGCGATCCTCCTCACGTCCGGCGGTACGGCGCTCGTCGCCGTCGGACTCGTCCGATGGGTCCCCGTCCTCATGGCCTTCGCCGCCGCCGTCGCCTCCATCGCGAACCACGCGGCCCTCGGCCCCAAGCTCCGCGGCGCGAACGAGGCCATCGCGACGCTGCACCAGCTCCACCTCTGGTGGCAGGGCCTCACGCTCATCCAGAAGCGCGCGAACGCGAACAAGACGCACCTCGTCGACATGACCGAGGCCTGCGTCTCCCACGAACTCTCCGCGTTCGTGAGCGCGTCCCTCGCCGCCGCCAAGCCCAAGAAGGACGGCGACGGCGACGACGCGGACGTCGGCGCGGCGGGCGGCGCCGCGGACGCCGCGCCCGCCGCGGCGGACGGGACCGCGCGGCAGCGGCGCCGCCCCCCGGGGGGCGGGGACGGGAGATGAGGACCCGTGTTAAGAAGGCGAGCTGCTCAGGCGCGCGCGCGCGCCGCGTCGGCGGCGTCTTGGAGCTCGCGCGCGCGCGCGGACGCGCGCGAGGGGCCGGCCGCCGGGCCGAGCCAGTCCGCGGGGAGCTCGTAGACCTCGGTCGCGTAGGAGAGGAAGAGCTCCTTGAGGGAGGCCTGGTCCGGGAACATGAAGACGAGGAACGACGCGACGCGGTCGAAGGCCGCGCCCCAGGCCGGGTGCGGCACGGCGCCGCGGTCGCCGAGGACGGCCGCGCGGCTCGGCGCGGCGAGGCCGAAGGCGCGCTGCATGGCCCGCGGCGGCTCGAGCTCGCGCGCGTGGACGCAGAACGCGAGGTAGTTGGCGGCGAACTCGACGACGAGGTCCGCGTACCACCGGCTCCGGAGCGCCGCGTTGCCGCGGCCGCGGAACGCCGCGCAGACGTCGCCGCCGCTCCGCTCCCAGAGGTCGGACCAGTCCGCGGGCGCTTCGCAGGGCGGCGCCGCGTCGCCGGGCGCCGCGGGCGCCGCGTAGAGCGCGCCCGCGAAGTGCGTGCAGGCCTCCTCCCAGCGCTCGCTCGGGTAGAGGTACCACCCCAGCGCCGCGACGGGGATCTTGCGCCGGAGGTCCCGCGTGTTCGCGACCTGCTCGGGCGTGCCGCCGGCCTCGGAGAAGGGCGCGGCCGCGGAGAAGAAGATCGCGAGCAGCGACCGCCACGCGCCGTCGACGATGTGGCGCAGGTGCGTGAGGACGCCCGTCGCCGTTCCCGCGTCAAGGAGCCCGAGCGGGCCCGACGGCGCCGCGTCGCCCGCCGCGAGGCCCTCGATCAGTCGCGTGTCGCACGGCGCGCGGCTCGCCCGCGGCGCGGCGGCGCGCCGCGGCGGCGCCGCGGCCGCCCGCTTCAGGAAGAGGAGCGTCAGGCCCCGCTGCTCCCGGTGGTAGCGCAGGCCGTCGTCGCTGTGCATCTTGCCGAACTCGGCGACGTGCACCATGAGGTCGCCCGCGGCGATGCCCGAGCCCGGCAGGGCCTCGGCGACGATCGACAGCTCCGCTCGGTGGCAGCCCGCGCGCCGCAGCTCCGGGCCGCACGTCTCCCCCTGGACCGTGCCCCCGTCCGCGACCTCCAGGTATTGGTGCGACGCGGCGCAGGACGGGTCCTCGCAGCGCGCGTCGAGGCGCAGCGCCGCGGCGCCGTCAAAGAGGCCGCCGCACGCCGCCGTCGCGGCGGCGCCCGCGCCGTCGAAGGCGAGGGTCCAAAGTTCCGCGACGACGCGCGCGCTCAGCGCGCCGTCGCCCGCCTGGACCAGGACGACGGCGACCCACGTCGAGCCCTTAACGTCGTCGACCTCGACGGGCCGCGTCTCCGGGACCCGCTCCGCGATCTCGCCGCCGACGACGCCCTCGCCCTCGCCCGGCGGGAAGAGGCCCGACGCGACGCCCTTCCAGTAGCCCAGCTGCCGCTGCGCGGGGCCGGACCGCGGCCGCGGGAACGGGTGCGCGCGGAAGAACGCCTCCGCGCCGTCGCCGAGCCACGGGCTCGCGGCGAGGATCTCCTCCGTGGCCAGCTCCGCGGGCCCCGTCGCCTGCCGCGCCGCTCGGATCTGCGCCGACAGGTCCACGAGGGCGCGCCGGTAGTCCTCGCGCGGCCGCGGCGCGGCGGCCGCGGCCGCCAGCTCCTGCTCGCGCTGCTCGCGCAGGAGCTTCTCGCCGAGGGGCGTCGCGAACGGCGACGCGCGCATGCCCGAGGCGCGGCGCGGGGGGTCTTCGGGCGCCCCGTCCTCGTCGGGCGCCGTGTCCGCCTCGGAGGCCGACTCCCCGTCGTCGGCCGCGTCGAGCGCCTCGAGGTTCTCGCGCCTCACGGCGACCGCGCCGCCGAGGTCGAGCGCGACGCCGACGCGGCCCTCCGGCCCGGCCTTCTTGCACACGCGGCCCAGCTTCCCGTTGTGCTGCGTCGCCTTGGCCAATCCGACGACGCGCACGGTCGCCCCGACGGCGAAGGCCTCGGACGGCGCGCGCACCGCGGCGGCGGATTGCCGCGGCGCCGGCGCCCGGCTCGTCCGCGCGACGAGGAACGGCAGGACGCGACTCGCCCAGACCGGCAGCAGCGCGCCGGAGCCGACCCGGTAGCCCAGACGGAGCCAGCCCGCCGCCGCGTACCGCGCCGGGCGCGGGAAGCGGCGATGCGTCCGCGCGGAGTATCGGAGGCCCGCGGCGTCCTCGAGCGCGCGCACGAGGTCGCCGTCGCCGGAGAGGTAGGCGAAGTCGAGGGCCGTGAGGCCGCTCGGCGACACGCGCCAGTCCCGCGGCAGGCTCGGATCCTCGCGCACGCGGCCGCGCCGGGCCTCGGCGGACGGGGCGCCGACGGGGCGCGGGTTCGTGTGCTCCTTCGTCGTCCTGGGCTCCAGCGCGGCCCCGGCCTCGAGCAGCAGCTCGACGCACGCCAGCGTGTCCGCGAGTTGATGGGGATTGACCGAGCACGCCGCCTGGCCCGCGTGCTGGCACAGGAGCACGAGTGGTGTTGCGCCGGTCTCCGCCCGCCGCCAGTCGAGCTGCTCGTGGCAGCCCGTCGCGAGGAGTTCGCGCACGCAGTCGATGTGCGCATAAAAGCACGCGTAGTGCAACGCGATGCCGCACTCCGGGTCCGGCTGGCCGCGCCTCTCAACATTCCCAGAGTAGACCGCCGGACACGCCACTTCCAGGAGATCCGCGCCGGCGGCGATCGCGTCCGCGACGCCCTTCGCGTCGCCATAGTAGCATTTGACCACGATCTCGGGCGAGCTTGGAGGCGGCATGCCCGGGTGGCGCGCTTCTAGCTACAACCCAAGAGGCAGGCAGTGAACCACCAGGTCCTCACGACAGCAAGCACCACTAACTAACTACCCCAGGGTCGCGACTTGCTCAAAATGAGTGGTCAAAACAGCTGCAACATGGGGTCAACGAAGCCTGTGAACCACCCGTCCTGGCCGATCGGCAGCTGGAGGGCTGCTCGGCCACGACCTCCACACGGTCGAAATTTATGATCGAGTGCCAAAACCACCAATTTGCTCGAGCTCGAGATCAAAACTGGTCGATAGAGCCAAAACAAGCATATTTCCGGTGGATTCGAGTGGTCACCAGCGGCCCCAGGGGTACCACCCCCACCACCACCACCACTACCTCACCCCATTCTCAGAGCACCCATCTCAGATCAGCATGACAGTGGTTAAGGTTGTTTGTGCATACCTCTTGCTACAACCTGCTAAAGTGATGCCGCTTCTACTATTGTAGCTACAACTTGCTAAATCGCTGCGGCAAAATTCATCTCCGGCGTCACGGTGCCTTCGAACGAACCCAATTGACAGCGCCGAAATCGGCCAAAGCCTCGATCGCGATCGCGAGGACCGGCCTCGGACTTGGTCTCGGGGCGGCTTCACTCACCGTGCCCGCGAGGGTCATGGAGACGGGGCACCGGGAGACGCCCGTCGTCGACGTCTCGCGGTTAACTCGCGGTCGACCTCCGGGGGGCGACGGGCGAGCGCGCGTCGAACGGCGCTCGCCGCCGCGCTGGCGGGCCATCCGCGTTCCCCGGGGCATCCGTTAGACCGGCGGCGCGCGCGACACTCAGGAGCCCCAGCCGCGGAGGACGCCGCGCTGCACGAGGCTCGCCGGGAACTTAGCGAGCGCGGGGCAGCCCGCGACGTCGACGGCGCGGAGCGCGGGCGCGCCGTCGCCCAGGCTCGCCGGCAGCTCCGCGAGCGCCGCGCAGCGCGACACGTCGACGCGCCGGAGCCGCGCCAACTCGCCGAGGCCGCGCGGCAGCGCGGCGATGCCGAGCCCCCGCGCCTCGAACACCTCGAGCGCGGCGAGCCCCGTGACAAAGTCCACGCAGAACATGGACGCGCAGTCGGACACGTCGAGCCGCGCGAGCGTCCGCGCGAGCTGGCGGACCGCGGGCCGCGAGAAGCCCGTGACGTAGGGGCTCCCGGACACGTCGAGCTCCGCCAGCCGCGCCAGCCCCCGCAGCCCCGGCGCGTCGCCGACGGATCGGCACCCCGCCAGCGACAGCGCGGCCACGTTCGGCGCGAGGCCCCAGAGCCAGCCCGGGTCGCCCCAGGCCGACGCGACGCGCAGCCGCTCGACGCTCCGTAATCCCCGCGCGGCGCTCGCGGGCGGCGGCGCCGCCCACCCGGCGAAGCAGAAGTGGTGGCAGTCCACCCGCAAACTCACCAGCGTCGGCGGCGCGCCGTCGAGCGCCGCCGCGAGCGGGCCGAGGTCGCCGTAGCCGAAGTCGCCGACCGACAGCGACCGCAGCCCGAGCGCCGCGAGCGTCCGGAGCCCGGCCGCGCCGACGGCACCGACGTCGAGCGTCTCCAGCTTCGGGCAGCGCTCGAGGAGCGCCGCCAGCACGGCCGCGTCGCCGCCGCCGGCGCAGCCGGAGACGTCGAGGGTCTTCAGGTTCGGGCACAGCCGCGCCGCCAATCGCAGACCCCGCTCGGACACGCCCGCGAGGGCGAGGTCGGCGACGTGCGGCAACGCGCCCGCGTCCGACCGCCGGCACCGCGCGCCGAGCGCGTCGCGGAAGCCGAAAAAGCCCGAGCGCGCGGCGAGCGACAACGCGAGGCCCCCGTCGACGGCCGGGCTCCGCGTCCGCGCGCCGCAGGCGACGCAGCGCCGCTCGTGGGCCGGCGCGCACCAGCGGCGCCGCCCGTTCTTGCAGACGAAGCCGAAGGGGCGCTCGTCGTCCGGCCGCGCGTTGCCGTCGATTTGCGCCGCGGCGGGGCGGCCGCGGACGCGGAAGTGGGCGCACTGGCGCGGGGCCCCGGCGGCGCGCGGGCAGACGTTCTCGCAGCTGCGCCGCGCGCGCCGCCGCCGGTCCGCGGCGCGCGGGCAGACGCCCGCCGCACCGGCGGCGCGGGCGAACGCGGCCTCTCGACGCATGCTCAAGCTTATTGAGACGGTCACTGCCTTTTGGCCTGTTTCAGCCGCTGGCGCCGCCGCCGTCTGGCCGAGACGGCGGCTGTACCGCGTCGATTTGAGCGCGGTAAAGCCGTGACGCGCGGCGCATAGACCCAACGCGTGGGCCTGACTACTTTTTTCCAGCGAATCGCGGGCGCGCGGGCGCGCGGAGGTCGCGCTCTCGACGAATATATGCTCAAATCGTGTCGATCCCACCTCTCCGAGCCGCTCGTGGCATCATAGAGAGCCGTTTTGTTACCGCGGTCTGCTCCATACACGCCTCGAGCGGACTGAACCGCGAGAACACCCTCGGGGACTGTTTCGACTCCGCGGCCGCGCGTTCGAGACGAGCGCCGAAACGCCGACACGACCGCGAACGCTGCCAAAACGCCGACGGACGCCAAGACGCGGAACCGCTTGCGCAGCGCGACGATGGGGTTACGATAGGACACGATCGACGCCCCTGCGACTCCTGGCACGCCCGAACTCGCGCAAAGTCTAGGATCGTAGGGTATGGTCGCAAATCGATCCCTTT